GACTCAAGGAAATTTTCAGCAAATGCTTTAATTGTGTCCTTCGAGAGGATGACCTTAATATTATTTTGTATTATTCAATCAACTGCATTAGATTTTTTTTGTCTTCTTTTCTGTTCACTATTCTCCAAATTTACATTAAAAGAAACATATTGTCAACTTATGTGAAAAACGCAGCACTCATGTAATGGGAAAGGAACTACATAGACGATTATATTTTGACATAGACACTCTATCTCATCTCATCTTATCTCATCAAATTTTTATTGTTATATCATCAAAATGAAAACAAAACTCTCACTGCAAGTAATTGTACGACCATACTTTTTTCTATTGCTAAGTACTATATTTCCTTAAACTTTCTAACATACTTTATAGGTTAACTTACTACAGTAGTGAGTTTTAATTTTGGAAATAAAGATCCATCTACTGATCATAAACGTTTTGTTTTAATAAGAAGATTTCTTGGCAAACGATTTAAGTTATTATTACTTCTAAAATCTTTGCAAACAAAGCTAGTAATGTTTAATTTTCCAGTTAACTGATCCAAAAACAGTAAGTGCAGTAGAAAATTTAGAAGCTGTGTCTGCAATGGTTATGGAAATACCTCAGAATGATAATTACAACGACGAATCATTAGAAGTAACTCCATACAATTCGATTACTGTTTCTCAACCTACAACTGCTTCTAAAGCAAAAATTATTTTCAAATCAAAAAATAATGTTAAACAAACTTCGCCGCCACCATCACCAATACTTAGTTCAACAACATCAAAACTATCATTATCAGAAGTGACTACAAATGTAAGCATTTATAATATACATTCTTACTTATCTAAGAAAAATCATTTTGTCGCCTCCAGTATATAGTATAACTAGATTTTTAATCTTTCTCCTCGGTTGTTCACGTATCAGATCCAAATGATCAAAATCAATTATATATACTATTATCAAACAAAAATATTTATATGCAAAAGAACGCTGCAATAATGATCCCAGTGAAGAAGGTACCAAGCATTTGGTACACGAATTAGTGCTGCAGATATTTACAGCTGAGGAATTGGAATATTGTTCGGTGGATGGCAAAATACAACGGTCAATATCATTTGATACTAGTAAATTCCGTACCATTGACTATCATTTATTTACTCTTTATGGTGTACGCTATTCCTCATTTAGACAGAGCAAACGTTTTGCTATTGATTTACGTCAAAAACATAGATC